CACTGAATTGTACATGTGAAGAATATTGAAATGGCAAATGTTTTGTTATATTTACCACAACTAAAAAAAAAGGCAGTATCCTCCTAACTATGGACAGAATTTCAAAACAGAAAAGTTTAGTGTATTTATTCCTATATTCTGTCTAAATCAGGATTTTTAATCTCTGGAGGAAAATGATGGCTTTTATGAATTAATCTTTGACCTCTTTTAATACAGCGATCAAACCTTGCTCTCTCTTTTAATAGCTTTGTTACAAAAAAATGTGTTCATTGAAAAATATAAGAATATATATATGTTATGGATTGAATTGTGTCCCCTAAAAATGTGTTGTAAATCCTAACCTCTATGCCTGTGGTTATAATCCCATTTGGGAATAGATTGTCTTTGTTATGTTAATGAGACAGGATTAGTGTAGGTTGTGCTGTTGTTGTTAGGTGCTGTCCAGTCAGTTCCAACTCACAGCTACCCTATGTACAACAGAACAAAAAACTGCCTGGTCCTGTGCTGTCCTCACAATCGTTGTTATGCTTGAGCCCGTTATTGCAGCCACTATGTCGATCCATCTCGTTAAGGCTCTTCCTCTTTTTTGCTGACCCTCTACTTTACCAAGCATGAGGTCCTTCTCCAGGGACTGATCCCTCCTAATAACATGTTCAAAGTATGTGAGACAGAGTCTTGCCGTCCTTGCTTCTCATGAGCATTCTGGCTGTCCTCTTCCAAGAGAGATTTGTTGTTCTTCTGGCAGTCCATGATATATTCAATATTTTTCACCAACACCATAATTCAAAGGCGCCAGTTCTTCTTAGGTCTTCCTTATTCATTGTCCAGCTTTCATGTACGTATGAGGTGATTGAAAACCCCATGGCTTGGGTCAGCCCACCTTAGTCCTTAAAGTGACATCTTTGCTTTTTAACAATTTAAAGAGGTCTTTTGGGGCAGATTTGCCCAATGCAGTGAGTCATTTGATTTCTTGATTGCTGCTTCCATGGACATCGATTGTGGATACAAGTAAAGCAAATCCTTGACAACTTCAATCTTTTCTCCGTTTATCATGATGTTGCTTATTGGTCCAGTTGTAAGGACTTTTGTTTTCTTTATGTTGAGGTGTAATCCATGCTGAAGACTGTGGTCTTTGATCTTCATCAGTAAGTGCTTCAAGTCCTCTTCACTTTTCAGCAAGCAATGTTGTGTCATCTGCATATTGTAGGTTGTTTATGAGTCTTCCTCCAATCTTGATGCCGCATTCTTCTTCATATAGTCCAGCTTCTCAGATTATTTGCTCAGCATACAGACTGAATAAGTATGGTGAAAGAATACAACCCTGATGAACACCCTTCTTGACTTTAAAACACTCAGTATCCTCTTGTTCTGTTCGAACGACTGCTTCTTGGTCTATATACAGGTTCCTCATGAGCACAATTAAGTGTTCTGGAATTCCCATTCTTCGCAATGTTATCCATCATTTGTTATGATCCACACAGTCAAATGCCTTTGCATAGTCAGTAAAACACAGGTAGATATCTTTGTGGTATTCTCTGCTTTCAGTCAATATCCATCTGACATCGGCAATGATATCCCTGGTTCCACATCCTCTTCTGAATCTGGCTTGAATTTCTGGCAGTTCCCTGTCAATGTACTACTGCAACCACTTTTGAATGATATTCAGCAAAATTTTACCTATGCGTGATATTAATGATAAGTCAGGATCGACTCCATGGCAACAGGTTTTGTTTTTGGATATTAATGATACTGTCCGATAATTACCACATTCTGTTGGATCAGCTTTCTTTGGAGTGAGTACAAATACGGATCTCTTCCGGTTGGTTGGCCAGGTAGCTGTCTTCCAAATTTCTTGACATAGACCAGCGAGCACCTCCAGTGCTGCATCCATTTGTTGAAACATCTCAATTAGTTTTCTGTCAATTCCTGGAGGCTTGTTTTTTGCCAGTGCCTTCAGTGCAGCTTGGACTTCTTCCTCACTATCATCGGTTCTTAATCATATGCCACCTCCTGAAATGGTTGGACGTCGACCAGTTCTTTTTGATACAGTGAGTCTGTGTATTCCTGCCATCTTCTTTTGATGCTTCCTGCGTTGTTTAATATTTTCCCCGTAGAATCCTTCAATATTGCAACTTGAGCCTTGAATTTTTTCTTCAGTTCTTTCAGCTTGAGAAATGCCGAGCGTGTTCTTCCCTTTTGATTTTCTATCTCCAGGTCTTTGCATATATCATTATAATACTTTACTTTGTCTTCTTGAGCCACCCTTTGAAATCCTCTGTTCAGCTCTTCATCATTTCTTCCTTTCGCTTTAGCTAATCTATGTTCAGGAACAAATTTCAGAGTCTCTTCTGACGTCCATTTTGGTCTTTTCTTTCTTTCCTGTCTTTTTAATGACCTTTTGCTTTCTTCATGTATGATATCCTTAATATCATTCCACAACTTATGTTGTCTTTGGTCATTCATGTTCAATGTATCAAATCTGTTGTTGAGATGGTCTCTAAATCCAGGTGGGATATACTCAAGGTTGTACTTTGGCTCTCGTGGACTTGTTCCAATTTTCTTCATCCTGAACTTGCATATGAGCAATTGATGGTCTGTTCCACAGTCAGCCCCTGGCCTTGTTCTGACTGATGATATTGAGCGTTTCCGTTGTCTTTTTCCACGGATGTAGTTGATTTAATTCCTGTGTATTCCATCCATATACATGTGAGGTCAACGTGTATAGTTGCTGTTTATGTTGTTGAAAAAAGGTATTTGCAATGAAGAAGTCATTGGTCTTGCAAAATTCTATCATGTGATCTCTGGCATCATTTCTGTCACCAAGGCCATATTTTCCAACTACCGATCCTTCTTTGTTTCCAACTTTCACATTCCAATCGCCAGTAATTATCAATGCATCTTGATTGTGTGTTTGATCAATTTCAGACTGCAGAAGTTAGTAAAAATCTTCAGTTTATCTTTGGCTTTAGTGGTTGGTATGTAAATTTGAATAATAGTCCCATTTACTGGTTTTCCTTGTAGGTGTACGGATATTATCCTATCTCTGACAGTGTTGTACTTCAGGATAGATCTTGAAATGTTCTTTTTGATGATGAACATGACGCCATTCCTCTTCAATCTGTCATTCCTGACATAGTAGACCATATGATTATCTGATTCAAAATGGCCAGTACCAGTACATTTCAGCTCACTAATGCCTAGGATATCAATGTTTATGCATTTCATTTTTGATGACTTCCAGTTTTCCTAGATTCATGCTTCATATGTTCCATGTTCCGATTATTAATGGATGTTTCTTCTCATTTTGAGCTGTGCTACATCAGCAGATGAAGACCCTGAAAGCTTAACTCTATCCACTTTGTTCAGATCAGCTCTACTTTGTGGAGGCAGCTCTTCCCTAGTCGAAGTTTGAGTGCCTTCCAACCTGAGGGACTCATCTTCCAGCACTGTTATCAGACAGTGTTCCACTGCTATTCATAAGGTTTTCACTGGCCAATTTTTCAGAAGTAGACCACCAGGTCCTTCTTCCTACTCTGTCTTAGTCTGGAAGCTCCGCTGAAACCTGTCCATCAAGGGTGACCCTTTTGATATTTGAAATACTGGTGACAAAGCTTCCTGTATCACAGCAACACGAAAGCCACCACAGTGCAACAAACTGACAGACACATGGTGGGTGTAGGGTGTATGTTGAGTCAATCTCTTTTGAGATTAAAGGGATTAAATGCAACCTAGCAAAGAGAAATGGGGCAAGAGAAATGTCAAGCACGTGAAGATTGCCCAGGAGCAGAAGCTCAGAAGAGAGAGGGACTTTCCTCCAGAACTGGCAGAGAGAGAAAGCCTTCTCCTAGAGCAAAACCAAAAACCAAACCAAACCAAACTCGTTGCCGTCCAGTCGATTCCGACTCATAGCAACCCTATAGGACAGAGTAGAACTGTCCCATAGAGTTTCCAAACAGCAGCTGGTGGATTTGAACTGCCAACCTTTTGGTTAGCAGCTGGGCTCTTAACCACCGCACCACCAGGGCTCCCTGAATTTGACTTCTAGCCTCCTAACTATGAGAAAATAAATTTGTTTGTTAAAGCCACCCACTTGTGATATAGCAGCACTAGATAACTAAGACAATATATAAGAAAAACAAGAAAAGTCCTCTTATAAAGAAAAAATCACCCATAATTATACCACTCAAATGTAAATGCTTTAAAGATGTTGGTATATTTTTTCCATTTATTTGTACATTTTTAAACTGTAGTTTGAGATAAAACTACATGCGATTTTTTCCACCCCCCCGTTTTTCTCTTAATATATCACATTTTTCCAGCTATTTAAAAAACTTTTTTTGTCTCATTTTGTTGTTGTTAGGTACTGTTGAGTCAGTTTCGACTCATAGCGACCCTGTGTACAACAGATCAAAACACTGTGCAGTCCTGCGCCTTCCTCACAATCGTCTCATTTTAGATGGCTGCATAGTATTACATCTTTTAAAAAAGTTTTGTTTTATTGTGGTAGTAGTATTACATCCTATGGCATAGTATAATTTAAGAATTTTATGGTTCAACAGAGGTGATTTCTAGTTTTTTGTTTTCATGTTGTAGTAAGCATCATTTTTGTATAAATTATCCACCTTTAAGATGATTTCCTTAGGGTAGATTTAGAGATATTTTCATGGTTTTTGGAGCCCTGGTGGCACAGTGGTGAAGAGCTACAGCTGCTAACCAAAAGGTTGGTGGCTTGAGTCCACCAGTTGCTCCTTGGAAACCCTACGGGGCACTCCTACTCTGTACTATAGAGTTACTATGAGTTGGAATCGACTCGGTGGGAATGGGTTTGCTTTTTTGTTTTTGTTTTCATGGTTTTTAGATGCATATTTCAGAATTACTTTATAGAAGGTCATACCAATTTATACTTCTACCAGCTGTATATAAATGAATCCAGTTTGTGACACCCTCACTGCTAATGAGGATTACCCATTTAAGAATATTCAGTTTCTTTTTCTTTATAGCATATGTTCAGTGCCCATCACAGAAACCTGGTCACAGGGAAAAGGCATCGGATGGGTAGCAGTAGTTTGATGGAGCGATTTTTGCAGGATGTACTGCGGCACCACCCATATCAGTGTCAAGAAAGCAGGTAAAGTTGCTGAGAGGAAGAATATTATTTCATAGTTATATGTTGCAGTCAATGTTTGTGTTAATGTTCCAGTACTTCTTAAAGTGAATCTTTGCATCAAGAAATATAATTGATGTGAAATTTTATCTAGTAACTTTCTATTGCAATTATGTTTTTAGCTTAAATAAGGAATTTCACTTCAAAGCATGTGTCCTAAATAAAAATCTTAGGCCAATATCATTAAGATCTTTTATAAGAAACCCTGGTGGTGTAGTGGTTAAGAGTTCCGATGTTAACCAAAATGTCGGCAGTTCAAATCCACCAGGTGCTCCTTGGAAACTGTATGGGACAGTTCTACTCTGTCCTATAGGGTCACTATGAGTCGGAATCGACTCGATGGTAATGGGTTTGATTTGGTTTTTTTGTTTATTAGTATGTCATAGGATTAAGCAGAGGACAAAGGGAGGGGCAAAAATAGCTTTTAAAAGATTAATAACAGAAAAGCTGGTACAATAGCAGAGTAAGTGTGGTCAAAGTAAAAACTAAGTGAATTTCATGTTCTTGTTAACACTGAATAGAAGAGTTATCAAATAGAATTGGCCCTTTTTATAATCTGTTAATATCTCAATAGCTGTCCCTCGTATCAATTTGTTTTGGTTGTTTTAATAAAAAGAAATATTTGATAACATTTAAGGGTTAAGGTCCTATGTTAAAGAAAAACATTGGTAGAAAATCAGATTAAATATTGTCGTAAGTTTTCAGGCACAGCCACACGAGATAAGGCAAAACAGATCATTAGCACATCTGTGCACAATTAGCTGAGATCAGCACCCACCAACCCAAAACCAAACCCACTGCCATCCAGTAGATTCCAGCTCATAATGACCCTAGAGGATAGAGTAGAGCTACCCCATAGAGTTTCCAAGGCTGTGAATCTTTGTGGAAGTAGATAGACTGCCTCACCTTTCTCCCACAGAGCTGCTGGTGGGTTCAAACCACCACCCTTTTAGCTGAGCTGCTTCACCACTGTGCCACTGGGGCTCCTAGATCAGCACTAGTTGCAGAAAAAGGGATAAACTCTCCTTTGTAAGTCACCAACCCAGAATGTAGCAAATGGTGAAAGAAGTGTTAGTGGGAAAATTGGAGGAAAAAAATGTGTGGTTTCTTAGGTGGTGGAAAGATAGAATTAGTCTATCTTCATTGAAATAAATTTGCAATTTATTACTTATATAAACAATGCTTTAACAAATATATTTGTACATGTAACTAGTTCTTTGGAATAGATTCCTTGAATTTGAACTTCTGGGTCAAAGTTTGAAGCCCTGGTGGCATAATGGTTAAGAGCTTGTCTGCTAATCAAAAGGTTGGCAGTTCAAATCCATCAGCTGCTCTTTGGAAACCCTAGGGGGCTGTTCTAATCTGTCCTGTAGGGTTGCTATGAGTCGGAATCGACTCGACAGTGATGGGTTTGGTTTTTTTTTGGGGGGGGGGTCGAAGTTTATGGACATTAATTTTTTTTTCTATTTTTAACTTTTCATTTTGGAATAATTTTAAACTTAAAAAACGTTGCAAAAATGGTACAAGAAATTTTTGTATAACCTTTACCGAGTTTTCCCAAATGTTAAATCTAACATAACCACGGTACAGTGATCAAAACCAGGAAGTTACATTGATCCCATAATATTAGCTAATCTACAGACTTTATTCAAATTTTGTCAGTTGATTCACTAATGTTCTTTTTTTTTTTCTGACCAGGACTCAATCCAAAATCACACATTGTATTTAGTTGTCACATTTCCTTAGTCTCCTTTAATCTTGAATATTTCCTCAGTCTTCCTTTATTTTCAAGATCTTAATGCTTTTAAAGAGTATAGACCAGTTATTTTGTAGGATATCCCTAAATTTGAGTATGCTTGATGGTTTCTCATCATTAAGTTTAGGCTATGAATTTTAAGCAAGAATACCTGAAAATTGATATTGTGCCTTGAATGTATTACATGATGTAGCACATGATGTTGTTATGTCTTATTGCCATATTAACCTGGGTCACTTGATTAAGGTTGTATCTGTTAAATTTCTCCACCATGAAGTTACTGTTTTTCCATTTGAAATTAATAAGTATCTTGCGGGGAAGTACTTTGAGAATATGTAAATATTCTGCTTTTCATCATACTTTCATCCACTTGTTTCAGCATACACTGATGATTCTTCTCTGTAACAGTTATTAAATGTATTAATCAGAATTCTACCATAAAAAAGAGTTTTCCTTGTTCTCTCATTTATTTATTCAATTATTTATTTCTATCATTATAGACTCATGGATATTTCTTTTATTCTGTGGATTATAATCCATTATTATGATTATTTATTTTGTTGCTCAAATTGTATTTGGACGTTTTAAATTCTTCACAGACACTTCCTAGAAGGCTATACATACTAGTTAATACTTACAGCAATAGTATATGAGAATGCACGTTTCCTGTCATCCTTGCCAACACTGGGATTATCAATTTCTTTTTCTCTTCCAATATAATAGGCCAAAAAAGAGTATTTCTTAAGTAGCCTTTGCTTATGAGTAAATTAAACTTCTTTTTGTTTATTTATTGTCCATTATATTTATCCTATGAATCATTTGTTCATATACTCTGCCCATTTTTCTATTGAATTATTTGTGTATTTTGAATTTGTGAGTGATATATATATATATGGATAAGAAACCCATTGCCAGCGAGTTGACTCCTACTTTTAGTGACCCTATAGGACAGAGTAGGACTGTCCCCTAGGGTTTCCAAGGAGCAGATGGTGGATTCGAACTGCTGACCTTTTGGTTAGCAGCCGTAGCTCTTAACCACTGTGCCACCGGGGCTCTGTATGGATAGTAGTCCTTTGTATTTTAAATATATTTCAAAGATTTTCTCAGAAGCGGCCGTATGTCTTTTAAATATATTTCAAAGATTTTCTCAGAAGCGGCCGTATGTCTTTCAGCTGTTTATGGCAGCTTTTGCCATACAGGAATGAAGCATTCTAACATCTTTGGATCTAAGGGAACTTTTCCTTTATGGCTTCTTTCATGTCCTTTTCTTCATGTCCTTGTTTCTTCTTTTAAATATTTTTAATCTTACTGAAGTTGTTTTTATAAGTGTGTGAGGTAGAACTTCTACTTGTTATTATTATTTTTTTTATAAATGGCTATGTAATTGCCTTCACTGATATAAAATGTTACGTAACAAAGTAAATTCCTATATTTGTATGTCTGTACATGTATACCTGATTTTGAATACCATTTTTTTACCTTGAATTTTTTAATCCCATGCCAACACCACATTATTTAATTGTGTTTATATGCTTTCTAAATTACAGAGTTTATGTTTTATTTTTGTTTCTTCACTCTGTATGTCTAGGCATTATAGGTTTTTCTGTTATTTTGGTTTTCTGAAAGATCAGCTCTTGCTTTGGTTTTGTTCCCTCTTCATTATTATTATTTTCTTTTTCCTCTTTATCAATTTGTTCTGCTTTTTTGGGTGGGAGGATTTGGTTGTTATTCTTCTGTCTTCTTGAGTTGGGTGTTCATTTAGTTAATTTGTATCTACTCATTCTTTTTTTTAAATGCAAGTATTTAAGCATGTGAAGTGTCCATTTAGGCTATATCTCATAGATTTTAATATGTAATTGTTTTATTTTATTTACTTATATATCATTTTTATTAATTTTCTTCTTAACCCAAGAGTTATATAAAACAGTGGTTTTTACCCTGTAATGGTTAGATTTTTGAAGGATTTTTTTTTTTTTGCTATAAAGTTAATTACAAATGACTAGGAATATAGATTGTGATTTAGTTATTAATTTTAAACACATACATATACAAATATAGATAGAAATCAAAGCATCTAGATGGTGATTCCTAACTTTTTTCGGGTTTTGATGAATTTTTTGATTTTATGATTCCTTTCTTTTCTTTCCTTCCTTTCTTAGCAAAATGTTGCAAAATTAGTTTTGAAAATGTTGTGATTTTTTTTAAGGCAAATGAAGATAATCTAGGGCTCTGAAAAGTAGGGTAATTACTGCACTGCAGTTTCATTGACTAGAGCTCAGAAATATGAAGAATTATGGAATTTTTTGCCCCACCATGGTAGTATATTTTCTCTTTTCAAATTCCAAATTCATATTAAGATAATAAACTTAGATGGGAAGGAAAGTAGCGGCAATATTTATGACATGTTAAAAGTAAAGCAATTGCATGTGGCCAATTCCTGTATGTCTGTTATCTTAGATAAATGTTCTGCTTTCTTGGGAGGGAGGATTTGGTTGTTATTTTTCTATCTTCTTGAGGCAGGTATTCATTTAGTTCATTTGTATCTACTCATTCTTTTTTTAAATGCAAGTATTAAGCATGTGAAGTGTCCATTTAGGTCACATCTCATAGGCCACATCTCAACTTGAAAAATATTTAATAAAAATATTTTTAGATATTAATTTCTTTTTGTTTTTATTTTTATTATTTTTAATAGACTTTATGTTTTTAAGAACAGTTTTAGATTTACAGAAAATTGAGAAGATAGTACAGAGAGTTCTGATATATACTCTCATCCAGTTTCTCCTTTTCGTAAGATATAATATGGTATCCTGGATGGGACCCAAGAACAGAAAAATATGTTAGGTAAAACTTAAGGAAATCTGAAGAAACTATTGACTTTAGTTAATAATGATGTATTGATATTGGTTCACTAATTGTAACAAATCTATCATACTAATGTAAGACGTTAATAACATCTTCCTTTGAATTTGCCTCAGTGCCTATCGTGAGATCTTTCACGTAGTAGTATATCCTTAGTGGATGGTTGTTAAAGGACTGAATTTTTGCTTTTTTAAATTAAGAATTCATGATATGTCAATATCATCAAGTCGGCTGGTTATATTTATATGAAAGAGCAGACCCTAAAGTGCTTTGGAGCAAGTATGTTGTCTTCATGCTAGTAGGAGAGATTCATAGGCTGATTTTAGGTATGAATGTTTTAGATCTTTTAAAAATAATTTAATTTAAAAGTTTGAATGGGAAATATATACACATAGACACAATAAAAAAGGCACATTCAAAAGTAAGCCTTCCTCATATTCCTGCCCCATCCACCCTATTCACCTGGAGGCAGCCAGTGTGACAGTTTCTTATGTGTCCTGCAGATATTCCAAGTATATAGTCTTTCCCCCTCTAGTTTACATTTATAGTAGCATTCTATAGACACTCTTTTTTTTTGCTAAAAAAACCCCGAAAAACCAAATCCATTGACATCAAGTCTATTCCAATTCATGGCGACCCCATGTGTAACAGAGTAGAACTGCTCCATAGGGTTTTCTTGGTGGTAATCTTTACAGAAGTAGATTGCCAGTCCTTTCTTCTGTGGAAGCACTGGGTAGGTTTGAACCGCCAACCTTTAGGTTGGCAGTCAAGCACAAACTGTCTATGCCTTGTAGGGACCTACGCATTTTTTCACTAATAGTGTTTTATAGCAGTTGATCTTTATTAAAAGTACATATAGAGTTGCTTTTTATTATTAAAACCTACATTGTATTCCATTGTTGTTGCTGTTAGGTGCCATCGAGTTGACTTCAACTCCCAGCAATCACATGTGACAGAGTAGAACTCCCCCATAGGGTTTTCTTGGCTATAATCTTTATGGGAGCAGATCACCAGATCTTTCTCCCAAGGAGCTGCTAGGTGGGTTCGAACCGCCAACCTTTAGTTCTCAGCCCAGCACTTAACCGTTCTGCCACCAGGGCTCATATTGTATTCCATTAAGTACAATAAATTATTTAACCTGTACCTAACTGATGAGCATTAAGGTTGATTCCAGTCATATGTGAGTTGAAAAAAAATGTGGCAGTGAATATGCTTGTATACACCTCATTTAGCACACAAGGAAACCGAAAATAGAATTATTAGGTCAGAGGGTATGTACATTTTTCATTTTAATAGATATTGAGCAATTGCTTTTTGTAGAGGTTAAACTAATCTACGCTCCTACCAGCAATTCATTAAAATGCCAGTGTCCTTATAGCCTTGCCAAAACAATTTGTTATAATAATAGTAGCTGACATTTGTGAATTCTTACTATGGGCCAGGCTTTTTAAAAAGTTTACATATTACAACTAATTTGATCCTCAAAACAATCTCATGAGGGGAGATACTATTATTAGTCCCTACTTTTCAGAGGAGGAAACTGAGTCATAGAGAGGTTATGTGACTTGTGTCAAATGTTTGGTATTTACCATTCTGATAACTGAAAAATATGTGGTTTTATTGGCATTTTTCTCATGTTTAGGAGCCATTTGCATTATTAAGTTTTAATTGGTACAGCTACCTCCATCTTCTGCACTGGTTGCCTCCCTGAAATATGTACGTATATAGTCTGGTATGATTGCCTTGATTCTTTATCCTCTAGGGATGGCCTGGTATGGAAAGAAAAAAATTATTGTGCCTTTATTTTAACATTTTAAATATATATATATTAGAATATCTTTATGGATTTTTCCCCTTGATTTTTAGATCAACACACAATGAGAGACGTCTTAAGAATGCTGTGTCACCTGAAGTGGCTTATTTTGATGATTTTATTCCCGAAGAAACGGTTAAGAACACTACTGGAGTCAGAGGAGATATACCTACCAAGAGTTCTGAACCTATTGAAGAGTTATATTCCAGACCTAGCAAATCTCAGGAATATATAAAGGATATTTCAATTCGACCATCAGTTATTCAAAAACTGGAGAAGGGACAGCAGCCTACCTTGGAGTTTGTTCATAAGATTGGGAGCAGTATGAAAGAATTTAATCGAGTAGATGTTCATCAAGCTACAAATAATGGACAAAACTTAACATGTCCCCCAGTGATTTCCAATGCTCCTGCTAGTTGTTTATCTGAAAGTTCTTATGATAGACCAGTTATATCTAATACTACAAGGTTACCACTAGTAACCCATTTGGATTCAGTTAACAAATGTGACCCAAACATAGTTGACAGATGCCTTGAAAAACTAGGCAACAGCTCTAGCAATCCTATACTATCATCCCATCTAGAAACTTCTTCAGTTTCATATCTGAAACCTAAAGAATCAGCTAGGAAATCTTTATCCATAAAGTCAGGTAAATTGATTTTACAGAAAGATGTAAAATCTCAGGGTAATACTTTGTCAACTGGCTTTAAATTTCATGAAATTATGGGTACTCAGGGCTCCCTAAGATTGGAATGTCTCTCCAAATTAGCGGTAAACTCAGCAGTAAACCTGAATAAATTTAATATACCTCCTAACAAAGGAATCTTTGAAAATGCCATTCCAAATAATCACAAGGAATTATTTTCTAATATGGATCATACCCAAGAAGAAAAGCATTTGTTTTTTAACAAGTCACCCTTTTTGGAACAGAAGAGCTCAGTGTATTCTGAAAGGAAGTTTGATTATGGCTCTCTTCAGTCAGTGTCTGATCAACCCCAAGAGGCTGTACAAGACTTATATCCTTGGAAGGAGGAGCGAGCTGACCCAGAAGACAAGAACTACGAATCCAGAGGTTTTGAAATGAGTTATGATTGCAATTCCTCTTTTCTTTCACTGACTAACCAATCTAAGGTGACTGCCAAAGAAATAAACTTCCCAATGGAAGTACATGCTGATCTGCAGTATAAGACTAATAAATCTTGTGCTTCTGAAAGAAGTTCTGATTGTGATGGTTCTCTTCGGTTGTTTACTGGCCAATCTCAAGTGACTGTTAAAGAAATAAGCCTTCAGAAGGCTGTGCATATTAGTCTGGTTGACCAAAGCTATGACTCTAGTAGTTCTGAAATTGATTTTCACTGTGATACCTCACTTCAGCCAATCATTGACCAGGCCCAACAGTCTGTAAAATATGTAAGCATTCCCACAGAGTTGCACACTGGCTTGGTTGATAAGAACTATGGATCTAGTAGTTCTGAAATAAGTGCTGATTCTGCTTTCCCACTTCAAGCAGTGGTCGACCGGCTCCCAGTGGCTGTCAAAGAAATAAAACTTCAGAAGAAAGTTCACACTGGCTTGGTTGATAAGAACTATGAATCAAGTTGTTCTGAAACAAGTTTTGATTGTGAATTTTCTTGTCAGTCAGTAGTTGATCATCCTCAACTGGCTGTCAAGGGAAGAAACCTAAAGGATAGGCACGTTGACCTGGAAGATGAGAACTGTAAGCCCAGTAGTGTTAAAGCATGTCTTGATTGTGATGTCTCTCTTCAGATAGTAACTGATGAACCTAAAAGGGCTGTTGAAGAAATAAACCTTCTGAGAGAGAAGAATGCTGAACTTGTGGATAAGAACTGTGAATATCCTGGTCCTGAAATGAGTTTTCACGGTGACATTCAATTAATGGCTGACCAATCTCAAGTAACAGTTAAAGAGGTAAACTCTCAGGAGTTAGATATTGACCTGGAGAAAAACAGTGATGAACCTAGCATTTCTGATCTAAGTTTTGATTCTCGTGCTTCTCTTTGTCGGTCAGCTAATGATCAACCTCAGGGGGCTCTGTATGAAATAAATTTGAAAGAGCTAAATTATGACATGGAAGTTAAAAGCTATGATTGCTCCAGTTCTGAGTTGACTTTTGATTCTGATCCCCTTGTGTCTATTACTGAGCAGCCTCAGCTAGATTTTAAGGAAATAAAATATCACAATAACCTGCAAGATAAGAGCTATGAATCAAATAGTTCTGAAATAACTTTTGATTCTGATATTTCTCTTCAGACAGTAGTTGACCAACCTGAAGTAACTGCTTATGAGGAGGAATGTGTTGATCTGGAAAATAAAAGTAACGAATCTTGTGTTTCTGAAATAACTTTTGATTCTGATATACCTCTTCATTCAGATACTGAACAATCTGAAGTAGCTGTTAAAGAAATAACCATTCAGGAAGAAGAGCATGTACATTTAGAAAGGGAGAGTGATGAATCCACTGGTTCTGAAATAAGTTTGGATTCTGATAGCCCTCTTCCTTCAGTGACTAATCCTACTGATGTAGCTATTAAAGAGCTAAATCTTCAAAAAGAAAAGCAGCTACACTTAGAAAATAAGGGAAATGAACCCAGTGGTTTGGAATTAAGTTTGTATTATGATATCACCTTTCATCCAGTGACTGACTGTTCTGAAGTTTCTATTAATGAAAAAAACCTTAAAAAAGATGGACAAGTGTACTTAGAAAATAAGGGTAACAAACCTACTGTTTCTGGAATCAGTTTGGAATCTTATATCCCTCTTCACTTAGTGATTGATCATTCTGACACAGCTGATAAAGAAATAAACCTTCATAAAGAAGAGCATGCACACTTAGAAAGTAGGGACAATGGATCTAGTGTTTCTGAAATCAGTTTAAAATCTGATATTCCTCTTCATTTAATAACTGATCATCCTGACATAGCTGTTAAAGAAATAAACCATCAGAAAGAAGAACATGTACACTTAGAAAACAAAAGTAATGAATTTACTGTTTCTGAAACAAGGTTGGATTCTGATACCCCTCTTCAGTCAGTGACTTACCAACCTGAAGTAGTGGTTGAAGAAATATACCTTCAAAACAAAAAGCATAATGACCTAGAAGGTAAAAGTGCTGAACTTGGTGGTTCTGAAGTAATTTTGAACTCTTATGTCCCTCATTATTTAGTGACTGAACCTCAAATGTCTGTTAAAAAAATAAACATTCAGAAAGCTGAGCACATCGTTCCAGAAAACAAGAGTGATAAATTTAGTGGTTCTGAAATAGTTTTGAATTCTTATGTTCCTCGTTGTTTAGTGACTGAACCTCAAATACGTGTTAAAAAAATAAACATTCAGAAAGAAGAGCATGTTCTAGAAAATAAGAGTGATGAATGTACTGGTTCTGAAATAGTTTTGGATTCTGATATCTCTCTTCAGTCACTGACTCAAAAACTTCTAGAGGATCATGTTGACCCAGAAGATGAAAGTACTGAATCTAGAAGTTTTGAAATGAGTTTGGATATTGATGCTCCTCTTCATTTCATCACTTACCAACCTCAACTAGCTCTTTTGAAAGAAAAGTGTGTTGATCTGGAAGATAAGAACAGTGAATTGAGTAGTTCTAAAATAAGTTTTTATTCTGATGACCCTTGTCAGTCATTGGCTGAACAAATTCAAGAAGCTGTTAAAAAAATAAACTTGTGGAAGGAAGAGGATATTGGCCTGGAAAATAAGATTGATGAACCTAATGGTTCTAAATTAATACATGATTCTGATGCTTCTCTTCAGGCTGCATCTGAGCAACCTGAAGTAGCTGTTAAACAACTAAACCTTGAGAAGGAAGATCATGTTTACCTGGAAGATAAGAACAGCCAATATAGTGGTTCTGAAATGAGTTTGGATTCTGATTTCTTGCTTCAGTCAATAATTGATCAACCTGAAATAACTATTTTGGAGCAGGAGCATATTAAACTAGAAGATAAGCACAGTCAATCTTGGGGTTCTGAAATAAGTTGTGGTTCTGATGACCCTCTTCAGTCAGTGGCTGACCAGCTTCAGAAAGGTGTTAAAGAAATAAGTCTTTGGGAGGATGAAGAAGTTGACATGCAAGATAAGAGGGATAAATCTGGCAGTTATGAAATCATGTATGATTCTGATGTTCTTCGGTCAGTGGCTGGTCAAACTGAAGAAGTACTTAAGGAGACCAACCTTTGGAAGAAGCATGTTGACTTGGAAGATGAGATCGTCAAACCTAGTGGTTCTAAAATAAGTTGCGAATCTGATAAACCTTTTCAGTCTGTGGCTGATGAAATTCAAGAGGCTATTAAAGAAATAAATCTTCTGAGGGAGGAAAATGTTTGTCTGAATGACAAGGGTTACGAACTCAATGATTCTGAAGTAATTTATGCTTCAAATGTCCCTATTCAGTCAGTGGTTGAACAATTACACATTTTGGAACAGGAACATGCTAGTTTGGAAGATAAAAGCAATGATCCTTGTGGTCCTGAAATAAGTTTTGATTCTGATGATCCTCTTCAGTCAGTGGATGACGAGCTTCAGAAAGCTGTTAAAGAAATAAGTCTTTGGGAGGAAGACCATATTTATCTGGAAAATAAGAGCTATAAACTAGGTGATTTTGAAGCGGCTTACAATTCTGATACTTCTTTTCATTACGTGGCTGATCAATCTCTTGTAGCTGTCAAAGAACTAGGCTTTCAAAAGAAGGATCATAATGACCTAGAAAATAAGAACTGTAAACCAAATGCTTCTGAAATAAAATTTGATTCTGGTGTTCATTTTCAGACAGATGTTGGCCAGCCTCAAGTGGCTTGCAAAGAAACAAATATTCAGAAGGAAAAGCATCTTGACATGGAAAAGACCAGTGAACCTAGTGATTCTGAAATGATTTGCATTTCTGATGTCCCTCTTCAAATAGTAGTTAACCAATGTCAAATGTCAGTCAAAGAAACAAATCTTAATAAGGTGGTATTTTTGGACCTGGTGACCAGTGATAGTGATTGTGAAATAATTTCTGATTCTGATATCCCTTTTCAGTCAGTGACTGACCTGCCTCAAATGACTGTCAAAGAAGTAAACTGTACAAATGCAGACTGTATTGATCTAGAAGATGAGAGTTGTGACTCTTGTGATTCCAAAATAAGATATGTTTGTGAAGGCCCTCCTCGATTAGAGACAAACCAATCCAAAGAGATTTTCAAATTAGTAAACCAGAAAGGAGACTATATTATTCTGCAGGATTTGAGCTGTGATCCTTGTGGTTCTGAAATAGATTTTGATGTTAATGTCTCATATCAGTCCATGACTTACCAATCACAAGGGCCTGATAAAAAAATGGAGAAATATATTAGCTCAGAAGATAAGAGTTGTGAATCTAGTGGTCCTAAAAGAAATTTCAGTGGGGAAGACTCTTCTCAGTCAGTGACTGACCAGCTGCAAAAAGCTACCAAAGAAGTGAACCTTCAAAAGAACCTGGAAGACTCTGGCCTGGAAAATAAGAGCTGTGAATCTAGTGCCTCTACAGTGGATTATGATGCCTCCCCTGAGTCAGTGATCCATGAAATAGCTGATAAAGAAAACTCTTTGAAGTTAAAACATACAGATCTAGAAAGTATGAGCTGTGAATCTTGTGGTCCTGAGATGAATTTACAACACGATCCCCCTCTTCAATGTGATAGTGACCAGTCTAAAGAAGCTGTTAATAAAATAGGCCTATTTGAGAAGATATCCTTTGACCTGAAAGATAACCATGCCTCCCATTCAAGCTCTGTTTCCATGGTTAATCCTGTAAGCAACCTGGAGAAAGCAACAGGGGTCACAGAAGATAATCCTGATGAACCAGTTCTTGGAGACTTGCCTCATGTCCCTCCCTCATTTGTAGGGAAAACATGGTCTCAGATAATGAGAGAAGATGATATAAAAATAAATGCTCTTGTGAAGGAATTCAAGAAAGGTCGTTTCCACTGTTACTTTGATGATGACTGTGAGATCAGGAAAATTAAAAAAAATAATTTGAATGAAGAAAAAAAGATTACCTGGGCTGACCTTAACCAGAAAACTGCATCAGTTCAAGTGCCGTCATATTGTGATGATATTGCAGGTGATATTTTGGATATTGATGACTTTTCGATGGCCTTAGATAAACCATGTCTTCATTCTCAAGCAAAGAGGCCTTATAAACAAAAAAGGCTCATGGCTTCTCGATGCCAGACTGTGAAAGTCAGCCATGGAACTCAAACCAATTTTATTAGTTACCCAGTGATGAAAAGAGAAATAATTAGACAAGAGGAAGACTCACCAAAAAGGAAGTATTTACATTTACAAAATGACAAAATAACAAAAAAAATAAAAATTGAAACAATTGAATTTCCTGAATCGTGTGCTGAAGTCTTGAAACCTTTGCATCCCAGTGCCTTAGTCTATGTTCTTTCTTCTCCAGATAGTAAACTGAAGGAAGATGAATCCCTCAACTTCTCTAAAATGGAGCAAAATAGTTGGGAGAATATACAGTACCAATGTCAGCAGAGTTCTTTTAAGTATTATGACCCATTGACTAAGCACATTGTAACTGATCCTCCAAACACAGTAGTACCAGAAGCTGACAGTGATAACTGGGTTAAAATTCATTTCAACAGGAACAACCTAGACTCCAGTACAGATGATAATGATGCTCACGTACGAAGCTCTGCTTTAGCATCTTTTATGGCTGTTCCAGTAAGGTATGGGTTAAAGTCACATCAGGGGGCCAGTGGATCTTCTGTGTTTCTAGAGAAACCAGAGATTTTGAATTCTAGTGAAGTACCAAAGGAAAGTAATATTCACTTAACTCTTTTAAATCATGATGCTGTCCAAATCTCTGCAAAATCAGTTGGAAATGAGTTTTTAGAGACTAAAAGTAAAAAGAAAATGTGGAAAAGGAAGGTAACAATTAATAATAAACCAGGTTTTCCTAAAAAGATTCTTAAACCAATTATTCTCCAGCAAAAAACCAGAATTGCTTCAGAAGAACAACCAATCTGGATTAGGACTAAACCAAGTGATGTAATTAGAAAGTATATTCCAAAATACTCTGCTTTTTTACATCATAGATTTCAATCCAGGAGCAATTTTATTGGAATGCATCTGAAGAAGAAAAAATCTGATGTCAGAAGGCTAAAGAATGTGAAGAGACCAGCCAAAACAGTTTTGAACTCCTCAGTTCCATCAGCTGGTCCTGAAGAGCAGTTAGGAGCTCTATTGAGCTCTGCTCCAAAGCAACCTGCGCAGGATTCTTCTTCCTGTGTTTCGGGAAGGAAGATGAATGGTAGTAACAATCGCCGTAAGACACAAAAACAGACTTCTAAACCTGTTAAAATATATGCTTTGAGAAGTTTATCTTCTCAGATACCACAATCTGATAGAATAAGGACTCGGCTGTCAAACAAATTGAGAGGTAATAAGGTAAACTAGAAGTTTTTGTGTTAAAGCTGGTTGAGAATTCAGTATTTCAGCTGAAATATATTGGGTACTTAGTGCACATAGCTTTCCCAACTTTGGAGGGAAAACTAACCTTGAACTATTTTGCTATAGATATTATTTTTCAGAACTTTTATATTCATTTGAAATCAGTGCTTAAGATCCTATTTATTTTCTTTTCTAAGTCTCGGAAGCCCTTTGTCCATTTTCAGTAGAAGAGCTTCATCTTAGTTTATATCATAGTGTAATGTAGTACAGTATATAAAATTTTGTCTCTTAACTCATGGACTTCTTGTTTATTTTTTGTGATTGCATCTCTCCTGCCAGCAGGTTATAACACTTAGAGAATGTATATAGCAAACTTATTAAATGCTATCTTATCTTTTAAAAATTGGAACAAATGAATATATACCTACATCCTGTGTGTTTCAGAGTGGCATTGTCAATATAGTATTCTTACTGGAAAATCAAAAAGAATAACTATAATAAATTACCTCAACTTTTGACTGGAGTTGACTTACCAAAAACCCATTGCTGTCGAGTTGATTCTGACTCGTAGCGACTCTATAGGACAGAGTAGAACTGCCCTATAGGGTTTCCAAGGAGTGGCTGGTGGATTCAAACTGCTGACCTTTCTGTTAGCAGCCGAATTCTTAACCACAGAGCCACCAGGGCTCTGAGGTTGACTTAAGTGATCATAAACGAAAGATAACTTATTTTTCTTTTAAATTCTATGGAATGAGATTCCATAATCTGTAATCATTTGGACACATGCGCACATACAATCTCTGCAGGTTTTCCTTTAGCATTGTTACATTTTAAGAAGAAAATGAGCTTGCCAGTGTGATTATTCTTTTCTGCCACGTTTACTCCCCTCCACATGAAGAGTTGGTGGTTTGATATAAAAATCCAGGTTATTTTATGGCCTTATCTCTTAAAAATATTTTAGACATTAGCATAAAATTTCTTAATAGCTTGAACTGAAATTATTGGTTTTGGTAATATTATTTGGGCAGGCCATTAATTGTTATTAATAAATTATTAAGTCTTAATATTTCAAAAGATTGAATAAAACTGTTAATGTAAATGGAAGCCCATTTTACAAGTGACAAACGATGTATTTTTATATTAGTTGGGTTTTCCTTAAACTGCTAGCTGATTTTAATAGTTCAAATAAAAGGTATTAAAATAGGCAGTTTAAGTCTGGGGTAATCAGAATATATTTAGATCTTTTATTCAGGGACACTGGTTGAGCTATTACAGATGCATCCAATTTCCTGTTAAGATCCTGGACCACTTTCTGTCATTAATATTAGGAGGAAGCATGGGTTTCAACTATATTGTACAACTACTGGCTTTTATTGAAACTAGGATCAATGGTAAGCTGTATCAAGATTTCAGAGGTATAAAAATATGTTGTCTTAGAGTTGATGAAATATAGTGTAACAGTTGGTTTCTAAACATTGTTTTACTTCAGGAGCCATTATTTAACCTGGGTTTGTTATGAGAGTGTTATGTTGTAATTTCTTTATTTCTAAATTTAAACAGTAATTATGTTGAAAAAATGAGTAAATGTATTTTTACTCACAAAGCAACATATATAAAGTCGTCTTCAACCTTTCTCCTCATTATAAACATTTTAATTTCCTTTTTAAAGTATCACCGTGGACCACTAGTTCAAAATAATCCTCCAATTTTAATTTTGGAGAAAAACTGCCCTACTGACTAGGAATTAAACAAATAACTAGTATATAAAATGTATTCTGTTTGTGGGTATTGGTGTCTTTTTTTCCTATGAAATAGATACATAATTCCCTTAAGTACTATTAATTGACATTCTATATGCTTTTAGCATAAGTTTAAAAGCAAAACCCAAATCAGTTGCTGTTAAGCCCATTCCAACTCATGGTGACCCCATGTGTGTCAGAGCAGAACTGTACTCCATAGGGTTTCCAATGGCTGATTTTTCAGAATTAGATCGCGAGGACTTTCTCCTGAGGTGCCTCTGAGTTTTTAAAACAAGAGAATGTATACAAATAATCGATGTAAAAGATCTATTGTTATTATGTCATACAGAATGGATAGTTCTTATAATTCAAGTGATCAAAAATGTTAAATTAAAAAACTTCTGCTACCTTTTTAGATTGAGAATTTCTAAGTACCATTTTTTAAAAAGTTTATATTTAAACTTTATATTATTGAAAATATAAAAGCATAATATAATACTGATGATTTTGTTTAACGGTTTGGAAATGTTTACTAAATTTTTATAGTCGATATTATTTTAGACAACTTGAAAACTTGAATAGTAAAAATTATAATTTAAATTAGAAATTAGTTACTTTCAGAATTTGGTAGGATTCAAGATTTGCCCCTTTGTCTAAATACATTTAGGCTTAACTTGCAGGTTAAACAACTGACTGTTTTTTATATATTCAAGAATATATTAAATTCTCTTCATAGTAAAAAAAAAATCAAATAATAATGAATATTAATCTTGTCCTTGTTCAGTATCTTGCATAAATATTATAATTTCTTAAGTTATATCGTATGTGAACTATATTGTATAAAGAATGTTTTGTATTTGTTTATTTAATTTATTTATGTAACTAGGGCTATGAGTGTTACTTTTTTTTTGTAAAGAGAAACTACATTTAAATATTCAAGTAATTATATATTTTCATGTAAACTAATGTGAAGACTAATGATGTATTTTTTACAATGCAATTTAAAAGAGTAAACTTGTTTTTCTGATTTTTCCTCAAGTAAATTGGTGTCAAGGGATTGATCTTCAGTCTCACTAATTCTGACTTCTGTTGCCTCAGTTCTGCTCCTATGACTTTCTTCTATTGAGTAGTCTAATTCTGAAATTTTATTGTTAATCTTTTGGATTTCTAGTTTTTGTGTCTGTGTGGATTCTATCAGCCTGTTAATTTTGTTGTTTTGTTCTTGTATTGTTTTCATGAAATCCTCTATTGCTTTGTCTTTGTGTTCCTTGGCTTGGTCTGAGTTTTGCATGATCTCCTCCCTGATCTATTGGAGAGCTCTGTATATTAGTCTTTTGAATTCTATCCAGGTAGTTCCATTACCTTATCTTCCTTTGGAAGGGTTCTTGGTTCTTTATTTTGCTCACTTGCTGGAGCCATCTTGACCTGCTTTATGTGATTGGATATTAACTGTTGTCTACGAGGCATCAGTAAGTTATTATATTTATTTATTGTATGTGTGTTTACTGTGTCCTAACTTTGTGTTTTATTTTGTTTTGATATGCCCAAGTAGGCTGGTTGTGTGAGTTACTTTGGTTATTGGCATCTTTGAAGCTCTCATGTCCTGTCTCCAGGTGGTCAGAGCAGCTACTAGGTGTGTGAGCCCAGGAATCTGTTCACTTCTTGTGCAGGTGCAGCACAGGTGTCCAGGTCATCGGTCACCAAATGTGTGGTGCAGACTCTCACCTACAGTCCTAGATGGGCAGGGCTGTGTAGGGGTGTTTGGAGCAGGCACAGGTATATGTGTGGAGCAGGGCAGGGGGCTGACTGCTGCCCTGGGAGCCTGGGTGGAGGACATGTTCCTGTCCCATAGAGCGTGCAGTGGGAGAGTGTTGCAGCCAGTCCTTGGGTACCTGGTGCTGTTGGCTGGAGGGACTGGGAGGCACCACTTATTCTCCGACCCCTGTCGTGGGTGGCTAGTTGGAGTGGGTGGTACTGCCAGCCCTCAGGCCCCTGGTGTGTGTGTGTGAGACCCCTGCTTAAGGGGCAGGGCGATGCCAAATGTCATGAATCTGCAGCTCCCCCTTGACCGCTGTAGTTGAAAATGGGCTTCAGGTGTATGCCCTGCTGTTTTATGCTAATGAAGGCATGTGGTGCTGAATCGGCCCACACAGGTCTAGGCAGGGGTGAAGGGTGCTGCAAGTCTGTAGACCCCTTATGCCAGTGGCTGGGTGATGGGGCAGGGACTCCCTACCACCCTGAGTTTCCAGCTTAGGGGGCGTGGTATATTTTAAAGCTGCGAGACTAGTGTGGGCGGGGATAGCCCTGAGTTCCCAGCTTAGGAGGGGTGGCAGTTGTTGAATGCTACTGTTGTGGAGCTATTTCTCTTTTCAGTGCTGTTGAAGAGTTTGTTTTATGTATTTTGGAGCCCTTTCATTAGGTGTGTAAATATTTATTACAGTTATGTCCTCCTGGTGTATTGACCCTGTAATCATTACGTAGTGTCCTTCCTTATCCTTTGTGGTGGATTTTGCTTTGAAGTCTATTTTGTCAGAGATTAATATTGCCACTCCTGCTCTTTTTTGATAGTTGTTTGCTTGATATATTTTTTTCCATCCTTTGAGTTTTAGTTTGTTTGTGTCTTTAAGTCTAAAGTGTATCTCTTTTAGGCAGCATATAGATGGTTCGTGTTTTTTTTAATCCATTCTGCCACTCTCTGTCTCCATTGGTGTATTTAGTCCATTTACATTCTGTGTAATTATTGATAGGCATGAGTTTAGTGCTGTCATTTTGATGGTTTTTTTTGGGGGGTATGGTGTTGACAGTTTCTTTGTTTCCACTTGATTTTCTGTGTTGAGTCATTTTTCTTTATGTATTTTCTTTTCATCTTTTTCATTGTTGTTAATTTTGTATTTGCTGAGTCTATGTTTTTCTTCTTTTTTATTTTGATGTGTAGGTTTGTTAGTTTCCTTTTGATTGTCTTAAAATTTACCTCTATTTTTCTAAGTTTAAACCAATCTTATTTCTTGATATTGCCTTAACTTCCTCTCCACATGGAAGTTCTTTTTTTGTTAAAAAATGTTGTCGTCTTTTACATATTGACATCTGTTTCCCTATTTTCAGTGTTTTTGTTTTGACTTATTTTTGTGACTTCCCTATCTGGATTGATAGCTGGTTGTTCTGTCTTGTGTTCTAGTCTTGCGTTGTTGTCTGATATTAATGATTCTCTAGCCAAAGGACTCCCTTTAGTATTTCTTGTAATTTTGATTTGGTTTTTACAAATTCCTTTCACTTCTGTTTATCTGGAAATGCCCTAATTTTGTCTTCATATTTGAGAGACAATTTCACTGGATATATAATTACTGGCTGGCATTTTTTTTCCTTCAAGGCTTTATATATGTCATCCCATTGCCTTCTTGCCTGCGTGGTTTCTGCTGAGTAGTCAGAGCTTAGTCTTATTCACTCTCCTTTTAGGTGATTTTTCAATTATCTCTAGCCACTCTTAAAATTCTCTCTTTATCTTTGGTTTTGGTAAGTTTAACTATAATATGTCTTGGTGTCTTTCTTTTGGGATCTACCCTGTGTGGGGTTTGATGAGTTTCTTGGATAGATATCTTCTCATCTTTCATGATATAAGGGAAGTTTTCTGCCAACAAATCTTCAACAATTCTCTCAGTATTTTCTATTATCCCCTCCCCCCTTTCTGGTACTCCAGTGACTTGTAGGTTGTTCCTCTTGATAGAGTCCCACATAATTCTTAGGGTTTCTTCATTTTTTTTAATTCTTTTATCTGATTTTTTCTCAAATAAATTGGTGTTAAGTGCTTTATCTTCAATTTCACTCATTCTGACTTCCATTGCCTCAATTCTGCTCCTATCACTTTCTATTAAGTTGTCTAGTTCTGAAATTTTATTGTTAATCTTTTGGATTTCTAGTTTTTGTGTCTGTGTGGATTCTATCAGCCTGTTAATTTTGTTGTTTTGTTCTTGTACTGCTTTCCTGAAATCCTCTGTTGCTTTGTCTTTGTGTTCCCTGGCTTGGTCTGAGTTTTGAATGATCTCCTTCCTGATCTGTTGGAGAGCTCTGTATGTTAGTCTTTTGAATTCTATCTCAGGTAGTTCCATTACTTTATCTTCCTCCAGAAGATTTCCTGGTTCTTCGTTTTGGTCACTTGCTGGAGCCATCATGGTCTGCCTCTTTATGTGATTTGATATTGACTGTTATCTATGAGGCATCAATAAGTTATTATATTTGTTTTTTGTATGTTTGCTTACTGTGTCCTAGCTTCTTGTTTAGTTTTGTTTTGATATGTCCAAATCGGCTGGAAATTTGAGCTACTTTGATTATTGGCATTTTTGAAGCTCTCACATCCTGTCACCAGGTGATTAGAACTGCTACTAGATGTGTGAGCCCAGGAGTCGTTTACTTTTCTTGTGTGGATTCAGCTCAATGTCCAGGTTGTTGGTCACTGAGTGTGTGGTGCAGGCTCTCACCTACAGTCCTAGATGAGCAGGGCTACGTAGGGGTGATTGGAGCAGACACAGGTATCTGGCTGCAGTAAGGGGTTATGTGATAAGCAAGGTAGAGGGCTGACAGTTGCCTCTGAGTGCCTAGGTGGAAGGTGTGTTTCTGTCTCCTAGAGTGCATAGGTGGGTGGGTTTTGCAGCTGGACTTTGGGCACCAAATGATGTTGGCAGGAAGGACTGGGAGGCACCACTTATTTTTAGACCCCTGTTGTGGGTGGCTAGGTAGAGTGGGTGGAGCCACCAGTCCTCAGGTCCCTGATGTGGGTAGGTGAGGACCTTGCTTAATGGGCAGCGGGGTTTCAATTGTCATGAATCTGCCACTCCCCCTTAGCTGTTGCAGTTGAAAATAGGCTTCAGGTATATACCCTGTTGTACTATGCTAAAGTGGGCCTATGCTGTTGAATGGGCCCACACAGGTCTAGGCGGGGGTGAAAGGCATTCAAAGTCTGTGGACCCCTTACTCCTGTGCCTAGGCAGAGGGGCAGTGTCTGCTCTGAGTTCCAGGCTCAGGGATGCTGGCAGTTTCTTTTTTCCTGTTTGTTTATTTGTTCCCTCCCCAAAGCCAGGAGACAGGCTCAAGCACACGATGGGTCCCACTTCCGGCCTATGGAGTATGGCAACCGCTGAGCACTACTATACCAGGACTGGAGCAGAGCAGGGAGGGAGCGAGTGAGGGGAAGAGAGGCACTTCCCAGAGGGGGAAGGGTTATTTTGATCCCGCACGGTAGGTTAGATTCTTGTACTTAACTTTCACATATCAACCGCCACTTCCCTCTGGCTCCGGAGTCTTGTGCAGACTCTCCGCCCCTCAGTTTCTCCCTACATGGAAAATGCATCCCGAGCGCTACTACTTGCCTCAGCCCACGTGTGCCAAATGATTCAGCCTGCAGTGTGCCAGCCAGGTCAGGTC